CCTTTCTCCCTTCCTTTCTCTCTTTCTCACTGTTATCTATATCTTCCGTTTTTTATTTATATCTAGAATCCCTCAGTACGTTTATCTCGCGTATATTCTCTCACTCGCGCCACTCGCATCTCCCGCTCTCCTCTCTCGATTTGCGCGGAAATTTTCTCCTGCCTAGTACGCGTCGGCAATATATCGTGATAATCGTCCCAGTCCAACTACAACGCTCGACTTATATTACAACCGGGGCCACACGTTTTTTTCATATACATATATATATATATATGCAGTTGAATGTTCGACGCTCGAGTCCGGCACACGCGTCGATATCATTCGGTCTAATTTTCCTCCGTTGTTTGCGCATCCATTTTCTTTTTATATATCTTTAAACATCTCCATCGTGTCGTTTAATAATCTTGTTTTCTTTCTCTACTCATTTTTTGTATCTCGCTATTTATATTTATTTATACTATATATATACATATTGTATATATATATATGTATGTATTATATATATATGCATATATATTACATAGATACATACATATAAAAATATATATACATATGTATATATATATGTATACACTTCCACTCTTTTTTCTTGGTAAATTCTCTCTTTCTTTTTATACTTCCTTTGCATCGTCTGTGCACTTGAACATACTCCCTATTCCGTGCGAGCACCGGGGGTTTAGCTCTTTAATTAATGTACATGCCCGCTAAATTGCCTATATATCACTTATATTTTATTAATATATCTCGATCGCGACCGTATTAAAATTTAACATTTAAATTCTTCAATCACTACAATATTACACCGCGATATTTGTACAAAGAACAATCACATGAATTTCACCGCGTCATTCTCCAGGCCAAGTCGCGGCTTCATTCTCCCCGTGTCCTTCCGCGTCGCCGCTTCCGCAGCTACTTCACTCGATCTCGTATAACCGTCTCTCTTCCTTCGACGGTTCTACGATCTTCTTCTCGTTGGCCTCCCGCGGCGTTTCACCCGCCACGTCTTTCCTCCTTCAACCGGGAATCTCGCTCCTTTACCCCTTTCCCTTTCTCTCGTGTCTTCTCTCATTCCCGAGCACCCGAGCGTCACGGATTTCGACGTGCGGCGTGGCAAGAAATGGTTCTAGCGATCAACTGATCGTCATTGTCCTCCGATTCTGGTTTACGCCAGCCGGAACACGGTAGGCCCGTCACGCTTCTCATGTCACTAGAACTGTCATTCCACCGTCCGTTTCGTCTTGCAAATACTTCTGAAACACGCAACATTGGCGATTCTCAATCTAACGCACGATTACTTGACAATATTAAAAAGATATAGATACACATGTTTTTAAAAAATTAACAATCTACTTCACTCTTTTATAATTCTGATATATTAACATATTTTTTATGTAAGATGAGAATATTTTACATAAATATATAAATTGTACGATGATAAAAATAAAATTTCATTACACAATTAGCTGCCATTATCTCTGTGTAGCCTGTAAGGCTACAAGCTGGTCCATCAGGACGAATACTGTATTCTAATGCGAGACCGATCGAAGTGACGATTACATTCGCAGCATCTGTACAATACAAACCTTTATATGTGATGTCCATAGTACTCCGGGTAATGGTACTGATTATGGAAGGTAGGATCACCGGGCGGCCGGTGCATCATGCTGGCCGTCTGTCCGTCCATCATGTAGCCCATCGTCGCGTCCGGACTATATGCCCCGCTCGGTCCTGCAGACAATGGTGGAAACACTACACGTTACTACGGTTAGATCTCTGTTCCGTAATTGGCAGGCGGGTACTGGACAAGCTCGCCGCGACCCTTTCCAAAGTTCTCGAGGAACTCGAGAATTCGATGACCACTCGATACTCGGTCCCCCTCACAAAGAGGTAGAATGAGGGAGATCGAGAGGAGCGCGCGTCGAGGGGCGCGGCGGAGCTGTGTGATACGATTCGCCAAAGTCACGATCACGTCTCTGATAACTCCGAAGACTTATATGTATCGTAAGCTCAGATTGCTCTCGGCGAGCCGTTTCGGCTCGCCTTTTCGCTCAGCGTGATGAAGAAGAAATAATTTTTTTGAAAGAAATATATTAAAATAATTTTTAAATATTAATTAATACGGCTAACATTTATAAGAGCTTCTTCGTGACATTGACGGTATCGATGTGTACATGTTATATAGTGTATGTGTATGTTACATACGTGTGCCTTTTTATAACAATTTCGAATTATTTATCAAATGCTAGCTGGAATATATACATGCAATTATGACAATATTGTTTTCATTATTGATAATGTTGATATGCATCCGGTTGTTTGCAAATGTAAATAGACTGTTGCGGCTTTCGCGATTGCTAATGAGCAAGAAGAGATACGTTCCTCCAGGCACAAGTAACCGATCGCCATTAATTTTAGAAATGTCGAACGGATCAAGCGCAGCTGAGAATTCAATCTCGCCCAAGCATCTCGATGCAACGTGACGACAGCTCGCCTCTCTCTATTCTAAGCGGTAATGGAGCCTCGGAATCCACGGGAGACTCCCCTAGTTTTAATGTCGGTATCTTAATGTATATTGCTACGATAAATCAAGGGCACTGATTGCGTCCTACCCTCTACGCCAATACACGCGCAACCAGATACGAGCGAGATAAAGATGGAGAGAACGAGACGGATAAACGAGTGTTGCTGAGATCCAACGCGCGAGGGCTCAATGTGCCATTGTGAAATGCTTCGCTAAGCCTTTCTTATGCTAAAATCCAACCTGCATCCCCCGATATTGCGTACACTTAGTCACTGAGGACTTATCAAACTCTACGTAATCAACTGCGCGTAATCTTTAAACGACGTTACAAACCGCCGGGAATGTTTCTGTAGATTGGAAACGAGAGATCACGAGAGATCACTATTCCTTTTAAAGTCTAGCGAATCATCAGGTGCGCGCCGTTATATCGGTCAGCAACAGCGTGGGTATATTTAACGTTAATAAAGAACCGGTCTCCCTGTGTTCCTGTGCGTAGCGCAGAATTACGAGCTTTGCTAATTAAGCCGTTGGTTCCGGGAGGTCGCGGAAAAGAGTGCCAATTAAGGCTCCCGCTACCGTTGGGACTATTCTCACAGATACGCGGGACCAGCCGACGTGCCGGTGGCATCGTATATCGCGATTTCCCACGATTCGCTGGATTTTCCATCAGCGATTTGTCAAAAAGCAGGAAGCCCGCGGATCTCGCCTCTTCCCTCCCTTTTTCGCTCGCCGTACCCCGTCGTCGCCTTTTTCTCCATCCATCCCGATCCCGCCGACAAGTTCTTCTGCCCCGCGAAATGCGTCGCTACCGTTTCAAACGAACTCGCCGCGCTTTACTTTGCCAACGACCGAATCGTAAATCACAATTATTGCGAGCGTCCCCCCCTCTCCGCCCTTCTCCGGTTTCCTTAGGAGTGTTTTTCAACCGCGATGCTCTTCGATATAGTTGCTCTCCCCATCCCTCCTTGGTTTCCTATTCGGTAAGCACGAAGGATCATTATAGATCCAGCGACATCGCGAGGAATCCACGAATGTTTTCGACGACACATCCCAAACCGCTGTCCTCCGAAAAACGTGGAGATAATAGGTTTGGATACACAAAGAATGCTATATCATCCTACTTATCAAGATATATAACTTTAAAAAAAAAAAATCAACTTCTTTGCATATGAAAAATATGATTCTATTCTCTTTATATTTTATTACTATCTCAAGCTTTCTGTATTTTTCCTTTAGTAAAGATTATAGGTATGTAACAAAAAAGATAAAATAATTGGACAACTTTTATGTAAAAGAAATCAATCAATAATACTTCGAAATCTTCGATTTGTGATGAAAAGGTCGAGTTATCATCGTTGATTAGAAAATCGCCTCGGAATGAGAGGCTTATTCGAAACAGGCGTTGTGTTGCATAATATCCCGCTCGTCGAGAAATGCCGGCTATAATACCGATATATAATCGGCGTAAAGCGCGACGGCGCCGATTCGTTCCCCGTTTCTCAGCGAGGAGATGTCAAAAGGTTATTACCGATTCCGCAACGGCGGGCCCCAGACGTCGCTCGCGAACGGTGGAAATGTCTTGCACGGCATGCCCGTATCTCACTCGCGGCGTATCCGCCGCGTGGAATGTAGCCTCATATTATAGCCACCGCGGGTACGATATCCCGCTAACGAGGGATGCGCGCTTGTAGTGTGATTAAACCGCGCTATAACGCAGCGGGGCGTCCTGGGATAGCCGGGACGAGCCACAATATGGGAAATTAAGGAATCGCTCTTCTCTTTGCAACGCTGCAACGTCGACCGGAGAAACGGGGGACTTGATCGGGTAGAGCGGCCAAAGGGAGGAGGGGAGGGAAGGTAATCGCTATTACCCGCGAGGATTCTTCTCGCGAAGTCGTCGCTTTCTATTCGCAGGCAAATTGCGAAGTCTTTGCAAACAGGATGCGATTGAATTCGATTAGATTAAGTCAATTATTTTTGTGCGATAAAAGGCTGTTTCGCAACGCGAATATGAGCCATATAGCGATATATTAATATACATTATGTAATTGAATATTCTCGGAAATATGTCGAGTTAGATACGTAAGTTTAATTTAATTCGAATGATTTAAATACAACTCTTATGATACAATAAAAAGACACGAATAACTGTTGCAGTATTTAAACGTGCGATATTTAAATGTTAAAAAGATAACGGTGAGAAGAGGAAAGAAGAGAGAGGTGAAACCTCTCTGAGTCTCGTACAATAATAAAAGAAATCCCCGTCGAGTTTGCTTCAAGATAAAATCGGGATCTATAAAAGCGTCCCAGGAATTTCCTGTGAATAAATCATGAGTCGCATTGCGGAGGATCAAAGATGAAGATCGCGTAGCCGGATCCACTATATGAAACCTTTGAGCTATCGCCTCGTTACGCTTTAATTAACAAAGGCGAATTATCGCCGGCTATTATCACCGCCTTAATCGTCGTTCTTACGGCGTCGGGAATCCTCGCGCGGCTCTTCAGAGCCATCCGGGGAATTCGTTGATTCTCCGACGCGGGCCGGATGCCGCAGGACGAAGTACGTTATTTCTGTCCCCGGACTAAGCCGAAGTAGAGGGTCAATTCGATGAGGTTAGAGCCCATGGTGCAACGAGACCGCACGACGACAGGAAAAACGCCGCATGGCGTAATGCAATAAAGTTCCCCGGTCGAGGTTGGTTCGCCGCTTGTATTTCGGTATCGTGTAAATCCACAAAGCTACCCCCCTTGGCATCCGTCCCCGCTTGTCGTCACGTGGGATGGCTAGGAAGCCGACAGTATCTACCCTATGACACTGGTAATTTACTTAAGCGAATTCGCCGCGGGATACGGTGGAAAATGAGACCGTTAATCGTCATACGGTTAAGTTCTGAAAAAAAAGAAGATATTCCGTTCACGGTGAAATTAGCTTTTAGAGTCTTTGTCGCTTCGGTAATGGTTGGAAATAAAATGAAATACGTTTGAGTACGTTTCATTTTGTTGGCGCAAAGTTTATAGCTATATATTTAATTGTCAGTTAAAATTATACCGAATATATACTAAAAAGAAAGATATCTCCAGAAAAAAGATTTATAACGGAACATTTGATTCTTTTATTATCCACGTAGCAAAATTGATCAAATTTTATAGTAACCGAACGAAGCGATAGTTTGAGTATTTCCTCAGACTCATTAAAAGCACTATCTTCGTAACTGAATGAAATTTGCTACCGACTCATTAACTTGCTACCGCGGCGACCGATGGCAGAAGGGCTTGGAATTGCCTCAAGGTGGATCTAATTAAACTTTCGCGACAGACTCATTCGAGGTAGTGGAACGTCGAAGTTTGGTTGCGAGACGAAGCTACGCTTCCTTCGAAATGGGAGAAGAAAATAAGTAAAAGCTCAAGAACGAAGTATCTCGTAAGAGAATACGTTTACGTGATATTCCAATATTATTATATTGAAATTTATACGAAGCTTAAAATGTTTCTAAGATTTTTCGAAATCGTCGCTCACACATCAAGTATGATGTCAAAGAATCATAATTTAAAGTCCGTCTAAAAAAATGGCCAACAGAATACAGTTGAATTTATATAAAAATTACATTACGATTTATGCTTAATAATCAAAGGGTTTAATAAAAGATCGCTGGAGTTTTGCAAGATTGGGCAGCCGTTTCTTCCGATGAATTTGGCTGCGGAACACGGGAACAACATTAGTAGTAACTTATGGTTGCGGCCTGGCTGAATGCCTGGTTCGCGCGTTCATAGCGGTAGGAGGATCGGGGCCGAAGGTAACGGAGGCGTGTAAGGTGGTCGAGACTTTCTGGCTGCCACCGGTGCCTCCTAGACAAGCGAGGAATCCTTACCGAGGTTAGTGGGTGGCGCTCCCCAACTTAGTTGGCGACGACACGCCGAGTGTTCACGCCGAGTTTCCGTCCAGAGTTCCGTCGGAGTTCAAGCAGAGTTCTCCTCCTCACCGGCGGGCTCGGTATAACCTGACCTAACGTTACTGACAGAGTTTCCAGGAGCTTTCGCGGAGGAGGGTGCTAAAACCGCGAACGAGCGCGGCGAGAGGGATGAAGAGAAGAAGGAAGAGAGAGAGAGAGAGAGATGAAGTAGCAAGGACGTCTGTGAGGGAGGGAGCGAAGGAAACCATGATAGATATGAGCAGTCTAAGTAACAACCATCAGTTTCCGGAGTTCACCGTGGCCGAGTATAGTACGAA